TGCAAGACCGAGACCAATTTTGGGCAACACTACCCAGGATCTGTCCTTTCAACCTCAATATTCTCATAACTCGGCGGGGACGTCTACTTATTCTCATGCATTTTGTCTTCTGTGGATTAATATCCATGTTAATGCTAGACAGCTCTTCTTGCATGATGTTTATTTTCTATTGTAAGTCCCGGTCATTCGCATTATATATAACGAGATCTTCGGCAAAAGCGAGGACTCTGTAGAAAGTAGACTGTAGATTATAATAATAATTAGTATAAAGGAAGGAGATGGTCCGGGGTTGCGGTCATAAAAAGGCTAAATAGTGGTAAAACTATTTTATTGGAAGCCAACGTTTCGACCCGAATTTGCAGGTCTTCATCAGGGCTAGAACGGACAAGATACAAAAAGATAGAGAATTGTGGCAATTACATAATATTTAGACATAATTTATAAACAATGTGAATAAGCTTATTAGAATTATAACAGTTAGTACAATAAAATATGGACCAAGTAAGCTGAGTAACAAGATCCTAAACTAAAGTAAATAGATGCTAACAATTGTTGTAGTGTAATATATAATAAATGAAAATGTGAGTATAATTCTACAAAATCTACAGGAGAAAAATAAAATAAGAGACTTACAGGTGTGTTCCTCTAGGAGTTTCACTTAGAACTGGAAAGGCAGCGGTAAGGATTGCAGGTATAGAGGGAGTTAACATGTGTTAACTAAGTAAACATTGAAAAACCCAGGAAATTACAGTATCTAGGAATAAACCCAAAATTGGCAAAAAGTAAAATATAAATATTTGAATCCATGAATGTTATCAATGATATAAATTAATGAAGTTATTTCTATATTTATATTTTACTTTTTGCCAATTTTGGGTTTAATCACATTGTACTCTGATCTAGAATCATGAAATACCTCTCCCATCCCTCAACTCTATTTTTTATGTATATTTATATATTTATAAGTTAATATTTCATAGATATAGTATTTTTCAATACAATCCATCCATATCTTCAAAAATTCCTAGATACTGTAATTTCCTGGGTTTTTCAATGTTTACTTAGTTAACACATGTTAACTTCCCCTATACCTGCAATCCTTACCGCTGCCTTTCCAGTTCTAAGTGAAACTCCTAGAGGAACACACCTGTAAGTCTCTAATTTTATTTATCTCCTGTAGATTTTGTAGAAGTATATTCACATTTTCATTTATTATATATTACACTACAACAATTGTTAGCATCTATTTACTTTAGTTTAGGATCTTGTTACTCAGCTTACTTAGTCCATATTTTATTGTACATATAATTCTAATAAGCTTATTCACATTGCTTATAAATTATGTCTAAATATTATGTAATTGCCACAATTCTCTATCTTTTTGTATCTTGTCCGTTCTAGCCCTGATGAAGACCTGCAAATTCGGGTCGAAACGTTGGCTTTCAATAAAATAGTTTTACCACTATTTAGCCTTTTTATGACCGCAACCCCGGACCATCTCCTTCCTTTATAATGCAACGGTCAACTATTAAATATTCAATAATTAGTATAATTATATTTTAACATGTCGTGAATGTTAAAAAAAAAAAAAAATAATATATGTATATATATATATATATATATATATATATATATATATATATATATATATACAGAGAGAGAGAGAGAGAGGTGTTAACAAAAATTTTATATACATTTTTTTTATGTGTCTATTTATCTACTTTTCTATGTGGCCTTAAAGTCAATGAGGAGCGAATATGATCCTCAGCCAATAAATATAGGGACCTAGATTGCAGGATGGCGATCGGGCGTACACTGGGAGTGCCAGGCGTGGACATAAAAGTACTGCCGCTCACAATAACTTGGAGAGGAATATGGTGCCGAAGATCTTTCCAAGACATGGATATGTTGGGAATTCCCAAGAGAACGATGAACGCTATTACAATAAGAGTCCTTAAAGGGTCCCACATGAATTACAGTAATTGGTTCAGGCTGCTTCCTCGTTTATAGCATGATACTCAATGATTATATCGATGTCATAATTTACATTTTTACGTTTTGTTTTATTTATCTTTATTTTTTATTTTATTTATCTATTTATTTATTTCATTTTTATTCGTTTAATTTTATGTTTATTTATTTACTTTCTTTTATTATTTTATTTTTTATTTTATTTATTTATTTTATTTTATTTATTTATTTTTTTTTTTATTTTTTTTTTATTTATTTAGATATGTACCATAGTACTACTTTTTTATGACTTATATTGCTACCTCCGTGGTTTTTAAAATTACTTTATATATAGTGTGTATTTTATGTATGTATATGAATGTATGTATATTTTTCTTTTATACTTTTATCGACGCAGCTGCTTTTGTATGTAAATGCATTGCTCAGTATATTATAACTTAATATTAGTATGTTTTCTTTTTTTTCTTTATATATGATTCTTGGATTCCAATATCCAAGATAAAACGTTACGATGGTGAAGGTAGCACCAAATTGAATTGGAAATTGAGAAAGGTCTGGAGTTTTGTTACTTCGAAAAATATATTAACTATGTATGAACTACCAAATAAATAAATAATATCAATGAGGAGCGAATATGATCCTCAGACTAAAGATCTTGTTGATAATCGACTGTTCTCATCGAAATCTCCTGTGGTAGGAATCGATTCTTCGGTCGGTATAGAAAACGTGTAAATAACAGATTTTATTTTATTTATTATCCGGAAGTCAGTAAGGAAATGTCTCTTTAGTTAGTTCATGCTTGGAGTTGAAAAGTTCACAGCCAGTAGAGAAAGCAAAGGCCCCACCAAGAACTCACTAGACGGTGAGGCAGCGGTGGCCCAAAACGATGTAAACACTTAGTAGGTTTGTATTACTCTTATTCTGAATAGGAATCATAATAGATTTTCTCCACGCTGAGAATATATCTTTACCCTCCCACAATATCACATGAATGTCTTCAAATGACATTTTATCTGTTCCCTACCTCCATATCGCAAGCTCAACTGAGTATTCCTCGTACTCTAAATCAGATCTACAAATTTCCTCCTCCATTCTGCTGGCACTTCTGGTTTATCAGTAAGAAGGTTGCCTTCTTTCCCCAGGCTTGATAGACTTAGTACTAGTCAAAGGCGTTGAGGTTATTTAGTCTACGGAAGAACTCAACATTTTTCGGAAGATCAGTCTAGACAATTCCAAGCGAAGACGGGCCATCGGACTTCCTCATATGCCTCTGGTTAAATATTGCTCTGGAGAAGGACCGTGAGAGGATCGGGCATAAAGTATAGTAAAGGAATATTCAGTCGGAGTACGCAACTATTGAGTATAGTAAGTACGCAAATTATCATTAGGCTGTCAGGGAAGCATTTCTAGCGCTAGTGGGCACTGCGAGGAGACAGCCTCGAGTTGAACCAGACGAAAACCAGATAAATGGTGACTGAGACGCCTGAAGGTAATGAGATGGTGGCGTTCGGGAACTACCGATGTAAGCGACACAAGAATTTATTGATTTAAGCTCCATGGTAACCCAGGACAACACCATTTAAGCAGAACGTAGAAGAAAATTAACCTTAAGCATGATGACCCGAAGATTTGTGTTCATAATGTGGCCAAAAATTATAGAGAATTAGAAAAAAATCAAAATACGTTGTACAAAATATATATATTTTTTTTTTGAGTAATAATACATTTTGCTACACTTAAGGACACTGAGTACTAAGGCTGAGTGAGGCACATTCATACCATATATACAATACATAAAAAAAAAAAATAAATAAATAAAATAATAAAAAAAAAATAACTAAAAAATATAAAAATCTATATAACAAAGGCAAAAACTACAATAAACCAAGGAAATGTAACTTAGAGTTAAAATTAAATGAAATACAGAAATTCGTAAATAAATTATAAGTAATAGAAATAAATAGAAAAACATTCATACTTAAATACAATATTTACAATTAGGTAAGAGATCTCTGAGTCCAGCCCTTTCCTCCACGTGTGAACGACAAAGCGAGACTCTAAGAGATCCCAGCGCTTCTCTCGCAACCGCGTCGCCAGCATTACCAGTCCGGTGGAGACTGAGAGAGGGCACTAAAACCACAAACACTCATGACTTGAGTGGAGAAGCTGGCCATTGCCAGAACTCCAGTGACGTCTTTACAAGAGATCTCGAGGCCACTGCCGTTTCAACCTTCGAGGAGGATTGTAGGGATGACTGGAGCTAGATAAGGATTGTGCTAAAGGGTTAGGATGGTAGATTAGGTTCATGTGAAAATTTGAGAATCGGGATAGAATAACGTCAAGGATATAAGGGATGTAAAGGTCATGATGTAGGGTTTTGTTTGTAACGTAATAAGGAGCATTGACTATTATACGGAGGATTTTAGACTGGAAGGATTGGATGCGTTTGATGTTCGAAAATTTAGTTGTTCCCCACAGTTCAAGTCCGTAGGTCCAGATGGGTTTGAGTATGGTCTTGTATATTAATAGTTTGTTTTCTATTGATAGATTGGATTTCCTGTTAAGTAGTCTGTATAGCTGGCCAAATCGTCGGTTAAGTTCTTGTCTTTTAAGTCTAGTATGTGGGTTCCAAGTTAGTCTTTTGTACAAAATATTTAGATTTTTTTAAAAATGATTATCAAAGACATTATTAGAAACTAGGTGTTATTTTCAAATCTCATTACTTCATCCCGTTCCAGCCATACGTGCTGCGTCAAAGCTAGAGAATTCTAGCAGATGGTGAAACTAGAAAAGTGGAAAAGTAGAAGTAATGTTAGGATTTCATCCGTTTGATTTAATATAATTACTTTTAATTATTTATTAATATATTTCTTTAATATAATTACTTTTAATTATTTATTAATACATTTCTTTAATATAATGTGATGATTTGTATTTTCTTCTCTTAGAAAAAAATTCCTTATGAGATTAACTATCTGAGCTTTTTTTTTTTTAACAGTATCAGTAATTATGAATTATGTTTGTTACAGAAAATGGGAACCTTTTCGCAAACAACGGAACTTTACGATGAGCAATACAAAATCCAGCAAGAATTTATGGAAATGATAGGTGACTCGAATATAGATATTGTTGAAGAAGGAGTAGGATTCATTTTGAGTTTAAAAAGAAATCAGACAAGTGAATCATTACCCCCAATGACATTAAGTCACTATTGTCTGTTACAAACTATCTGGGCTTTAGCTTCTGGACATGTTGAATTGGCCGAAACGTATCTCAACAAAACTGTGGTATGCTACGATACAGCGTCAGAAGAATGGCTTGAAAACTTCCAATTCGAACCGATGTTAGTGTATGATTTAGTCAAATCAACTTCCAACAAAAATGAAGCAAATGAGATCTTGAAACAAATAGCTGTTTTCCTCAGTCGGAAATATAACGTTTTTAAAAAAGCCGCTGAAAGAGCTGATGACCCTTTGATCATCTGGTTGAAGAAGATGGGACTTGATTTGTCAACAAACGGGAATGAAGCTGTCGCATCTGCTTGGGTAAAGGACCACATCGATACCGTCAATTTGCTTTTGGAGATGGGTGCATTGGGCAATAATTCAGCGAGTGGCGTGGTGAATATCAGCAACTCGAATGGAGAGACACTTCTACACTTCGCAGCTAGCAGAGGCCTCAAAAAAATCGCCAAGAAATTACTAGACAATGGGGCAGCAGTCGACCAAAAGGACGTTAAGTCTTTGACGCCGTTATACCACGCCGTGCGTTCGAACGAGGAAGAAATGGCTCTTTTTCTATTGCAAAGAGGTGCAGACCTTCTTACCAGGACCAAAAGCGGAAATACACTACTTCATCTAGCCGTGATTGAAAACAGTTCTGTCGCACTCTCGGGACTTCTGAGATTCGGTTTGGAAATTCAAATAGAAAACTACCAAAAAATACCTCCATTGTTCTTGGCTGTTGAGCTCGGATACAACTCTTTGATCGAATTGTTATATCAGAGTGGGGCTTATATAGACAGCTATACCAGTTCAGGCAACACTTTGCTGCACGTAGCAGTGAATAGAGGATCGCTAGTCGCTGCTAGGAACTTGATCAAGCATGGAGCGTCGATAGACTTGAAAAACAGCGAGGAGTTGACACCTCTGTACTTAGCTGCCAAAGTCGGAAATCCTGATTTGATTTGGTTCCTACTGAACAAAGGAGCATCACGCCACGAGTCGGGATCCGGAGACAGCCTTCTTCACATAGCAGCTCGAAGAGGAGACACAGCAGCAATCGAGTCGTTGGTAAATCTATGTATCCCTGTTGACGAATTGAATCAAAAGGGTGTGACACCGCTGTACGCGGCCGCAGCGGCGGGAAATCGGGCAGCGATGGAACTCCTGTTGGCTAAAGGAGCCGATTTGTACATTACACTAAGAAATGGTCAGCGGCTGCTCCAAGTAGCGGCTGTTGAAGGAAACGTAGCAGCGATAGAATCACTACTCAACGTGGGACTTTATGTGGACGTTAAGGATTCCGACATGTTGACTGAGCTGTGCCGAGCAGTTCAAAATGACAATATTGCCTCAGCGGCAATGTTGATTGAGAGGGGCGCCAATGCCAGTTTCACAACATCAGTTGGAGACACACTGCTCCATATCGCAGCGGTTTCTGGCAGTTACGGATCGATACATCTATTAGTCCAGCATGGACTAGATATCGACGCTGAGAACGATCAGAACGAGACACCACTTTATCTTGCTGCTAAGAACGCTAACTTAAAAACAGCAAACTTATTAATTACTTTAGGTGCGAATAGGAATTATGTAACGTCGAGAGGTGGCACTCTGGCACACCTAGCAGCTGAGAAAAACGATATCCCAGCTTTGAAAACATTGTTCACTATTGGAGCGGATTTTAATGCAATCAATACAGACGGTTATACTCCCCTCTACACTGCCATTCGAAAGTCCGAAATGGCAGCTGCCAACATAATGTTAGAAACCGGCGTGGATTTGTTTTACATAGATCTTCATAATGACTCGCTATTACATTTAGCAGCAAAAAATAAAGACCACAATGCTATAGACTTTTTAATCAATAAAGGAGTTTATATCGATACTCGAGGTTCGAATGGTTATCGTCCAGTAGATGTTGCTTTGTATAACGGAAACTGTGACACTGCAGAATATTTCATGAAAAAGGGTGCAAATATAAGAGGAAGAAATTTAATGAATCGGACTGTATTGCATTCAGCAGTAATTGGAGGTTGTAGGTGGTTCTTGAAAAAAATGTCCACTCGTATCGATAATATTGATCCTAAAGACAAAAATATGCAAACGCCTCTTCACTTGGCTGCGGTTCTGGGAAGGAAAGAAATTTCCGAAACTCTAATATTGTTCGGGGCAGATGTGAATAGTGTAGACAACAATAATTGTACTCCTTTCCAAATCGCTGCGGTTAATCGAAATTGGGACATGGTATCTTCATTCCTTAAAAAAGATGTTAATCTCAATTGGACTGACGATCGCAATAGATCTCTTCTTCACCTTGCAATCCTTGAAAATAAAGAGGATGTCCTGAAATACCTCACGAAACAGATGAGAGTTGATATATTCGTTCAAGACATGGATGGGAGGATACCACTACACTTGGCCGCTGAGAAAGGTGTATTTGCTCAAATCATGAGCTATTTGATTGATGAAAGAGTACCAAAAAGCATCAACTACCGAGATTACAAAGGAAAAACTCCTCTCCATTTAGCCGCAGTTGGAGGACACGAATCAACCGTAGAATATCTTTTGAGCAAAGGAGCTGATCTTGAAGCGACTGATCACAATCACGAAACGGCATTGAGCTATGCCGCTAAACACCACTACTGGGAAATCGCAAGGCGGTTATTGGATGAAATATGTATGGTATCCAGAACAAACAGTACAGATAGGCAAGGAAATACTGTCCTGCACTTAGCTGTGTTAGATAACAAGCTTACGATTATTTCAGGCTACAAAATATGTTTACAAAAAAACATTTATTATAAAGATTCACAAGGTCGCATACCTTTGCACTTAGCCGCCGAAAAAGGTCTGTCTGCCCAATTCATGAGCTACTTGATTGATGTTCCGGAAAGCATCGACTTCCAAGATTACGAAGGAAAAACACCTCTTCATTTAGCCGCAATTGGAGGACACGAATCAGCCGTAGAATATCTTTTGGAAAAAGGAGCCGATCCTCTGGTGATAGACCGCCATCGACTTACGCCACTGATCTATGCCGCTAAACTCCACCACTGGAGAACTGCAAGACTGTTATTAAACAAAGTATGCATGCTCTCTGATATTAACGCCGTTGATGAAGAGAACAGAACTGTCCTGCACTTAGCTGTGTTAGATGGACAACTTGATGTTATTTCCAGCAACAAACTATGTTTGAAAAAACATATCAATAGCAAAGATTCTACAGAGAAAACGCCTCTAGATCTTTCTTTAGCAAAAGGTAGGCAGTACATAGTTGAGTATTTTTTTGAAAATTACAGGTCTGCGTTAAATTTGAAAAATTGTACCGCATTGACTCTTGCGAAGATTGGGTCTTGGGATATCATTGGAAGCATACCTTCAAACGGGATGGGTTCTGAATGTCGAGATGAAAAAAATAGAACTTTGCTTCAATTGGCGGCATGGCATGGTGACAATATCACAGTCTTGTCCCTGCTTCAGAACAGAATGAATGATGTTGATGCGATGGACCCAGATAATCGTACAGCACTTCATCTAGCAGCGATGAAGAATCGACATGTTGTTGTGAGAATCCTTTTAAAACATGGCGCACGGCAAGATATTCACGATAAGGATGACATGACGCCATTAACTATTGCACTAAGCAACAACAGCTGGGATACAGTCCGCGAACTTTTGAATAACGAAACCTACATTCGTTGGACTGATGTTTACAATAGAACCATACTGCACTACGCAGTAATAAATGGTCAGAAAGAAATAATAGAATATTTACTTGAGAATACAAAAATCGATATCAACGCTAAAGATGCTAATCTCAATACACCCTTACAACTCGTAGTGGGTCAAAGGAACTTGAGCAGCCACGATCGCCAAGAAATCTTAGAACGATTTGTTCGCCATGGAGCAGAATGGAACATATTGGATGAGCAAAAGAGGAATATTTTACACTTAGTGGCTATCAGTGGTGATAAAGAAACATTGAAGTATATTCTTGACAGATACAGGCTGGATATCAATGGTCAAGATATCGACTTACGAACTCCATTGCACATGGCAATCATCAATGACCATCATGGCTATAACAATATGGTGGGTACATTATTGGAATACGGAGCTGATAAGAACGTCCTGGACACCAATCAACGTACACCACTCATTTACGCGATTGAGAACAGCCACTATGATGCAAAGGATTTGTTAGATAAATTTACAGATCTCGACTGGTCAGACGCCGACAACAGATCAATCGTACATTTGGCTGCTATGCATGGCTGTTCCGAAGTGGTAAGAAAGTTTTTAAAGCTAGACTTAAAAAAAGTAAATATCGATCGATTAGATGTTAACGAACAAACGCCGCTTCACTTAGCTGCTCGAGAGGATCACTACGAGATTGTTGATTTGCTCTTGCAAGAGAGAGCCAATGGATCACATTTGGACAAGGAAAGTCGCAGCCCTCTGAACTTGGCAGTTATAAACAACAGTTGGAAGGCTGTTGAGGTCCTGGTGAGGAGAGGTTATTACAAGGAGCACAGGTATAGTGGGAACAGGACTTTACTTCACCTAGCTACAATGAACGGCTTGAGGCATATTATTGACTATATTATAAATTACGAGATTGTAGATCTCGCAGCGACTGATGATCGTGGAGACACTCCATTACATATCGCAGCCCACAAAAATGATACTACAACTGTTCAACAGCTTTTGAAGAAAAGAGTTAATAGAGATGTTTCGAACGGTATTGGACAGAACCCTCTCACGGTTGCAATGGTCTATGGCAGCTGGGAAGCTGTAAGTGTCTTGTTGAAGGGCAACTGCGATGTCGAAGCAGTGGACGGAAGAAATAGGACACTGTTACATTACGCAGCATTGAACAGGAAGAAGGCCATCATTGATCACTTGCTGTCTTGCAGAAACGTGGACATCAATGCTCTGGACATTGAGCACGAGACACCTTTGGATCTTTTCGTAAAGACAAAGGCTATGAATTTAATTTATGATTATTCTGATATAAATTGGAGAGATGGGAATGGAAGAACATTGCACCATCTTGCTTTGCTAAAACAAAATGATTGGTGCAGTTGGTGTAGAAATGTTAATTTTGGTGTAGTTGATGCTGTGGATAACGACAGGCAGACAGCCCTCCATATTGCTTCTACGGAAAATGATGTTTCTACTGTATCATCTTTATTATATCAGGGTGCTGGTGTCAGTACAGTTGACATTAATGGACATACGCCTTTGCATCTTGCCGCAAGGTATGGTCATTATTCGGTCATCGAAAAGTTCTTGAATGATTACGGTAGAATCAACCATAGAGATTTGCTGGGTAGGACGCCTCTACAGTTATCATTAAACAATGGTCACCAGGAAACAACAACACTACTTAAAAAATGGGGAGCAACTATATAACAACTATATTTTTTTGTCAAAACTGAGTTGTTTATATTATTAATCATTTTTATAAACAGTATTATATTTTTTATTTAAAAAGAAAAAAAAAAAAATATATATATATATATATATATATATATATATATATATATATATATATATATAGATAGATAGATAGATAGATAGATAGATAGATAGAAAAAAAACTTTATTCTGGGACTAAGTCCCTTCAGAATAACAATAATGTACAAAATAATAGAATATTACTGGCCTGAACGTTGAAACAATAAATAAAATTGATAAAATAAAATAAAAAGTAAAGAAAACCTTAGGTGCACAAGCTATATAGAATACAGATAAAACTATGTACAGAGCATTTAAAATTATGAATAAAACAATTAAAACTATGAACGAATCATTTGAACTATGAACAAAATTATATTTAAGGGTTGAACAACATAAACATACACTTTGAGAAATGAAGAACGAAAAAGAGATACATGGAGAGCTAACCTATATATATATATATATATATATATATATATATATATATATATAAAGTACAGTATTGTGCAGTAAACAGAGCCTATTTACTTTAAACACTATTATATATATTTTTTTTCATATCAACGTTTATAGTTTTTATATTGTTACTGAAATAGAGCACGGTCGGCAAAATAAAGATGAACACAACATTCCAGTCAAATTCAGCATGTTACATTGGAAAAGGTCGAATTGAGTACTTAGGGGTAGACTACTTATATCAATTGCAGACTAAATAATGTCAAAAATAGAATAAAAATTGAAAACATTTACATACAACCTCTTGCACTAACCATAATTATATATACTTAATAGGTATGCTTTCATCCGTAAAGTGGATTGAACAAATAAGTGGTAGCAAAAACTCTTTTTTTCAAGACCAATACTTTTCTTCGGTCAGCACAAAACTAATTAATCTGGAATATAAAAATATGCGTATGGAATATAAAAAAAAAGTTCACACGATTTTGATATTTAAAGAGGAAATCGAGACCACGACGATCAGGTTGAACTTCAATGGAAATAAACACAGTCACAAAAAAGACTTTAAAAGTAACAATTAATTTGAATTTATTGAAAATTAACTCCATAAAAATATTGTATTAGCCTAACTCCCACTCCATATGGTCAATGCCTCCTACGTTTCACAAACTTATATTTTTAACAATTATTTATATTAATTTTTAAAGCAGACCCTACACGGTAATTCATGAATGAACGTCACAAGAAGTTCCAAGATTGCCCGCTATCGCTTTGATCATGAAGACCCTTACACGTTCAATCATTACTGATCATTACTTATGTGAAGTTTCCACTTTTTTTTCTCTCCAATTTATTGCCTACTTGACTATTTAAAGAAAAAATAGTTGAAAATGGTTAATAATAATATAGACTAGGGATATAAACAACTATTTATTTTTATGAAATTATTTACTTAATAACGAGACCTAGGTAAACTAACCTATCTAGTAGTAAGGTTAGTCTCATATCGTTTTGACAAAAGTTAGTAAAATATAAGTCTACTACTTAAAAAATTAAGGAAAGGTATTGCGAAAATAATAAATTTGTTGAGGAAAATGGGAAAAGAACTGATAAATATACACAACGTTAAAGTTTTTTTTTTCCTAAAGTAAATTGTGAAGTTTCCTCATTTTTTTTTTTTTAATTTGTTGCCCACTTGACTATTTAAAAGAAATAGTTGAAGATGGTTTTAAATTATAAACAAGGGATATGAAAAATTATTTAACTATTTACATATAATGAAAATCAGAAATTTATAATGATTGTGAGGCCTAGGTAACCTAACCTATCCAGCAGTATGGTTAGTCTCCCCACTACTTTTACCTCAGTCCCCCCTCCACTTCTCGTGAATGAACCTTTGATTTCCGGATGTTCGGAAATCCGCAGCGCACCATCAGTACTTCATTCACTACCTTACACGACAATTCGGAACGTCATTAGTGCAATTCCGATTGACCGTGTAGGGTCCCCTTAATTATTAAATGCAATTCAATGGAATTAATACTAGGTAATTTCTACACTATTCTTCCAAGTTTGGGTCAAATCAAACGAATCGTTTTCAAACTATAGGCATCAATAATGTCAAATAATACATTTTCTGATCTGAAAATGGAAGTATTTTTTTGGAAATAGTGGATAGAATTTGATTAAATTTATACATACTTGATTATCTGTTTACCAATCCCTATATTCACTCCAAATTTGAGCTAAATCGAACTTGCGGGTTTTGAGTTATAGACTTGTCAAGGCAAACAAGTTTGCCAATATATAAGTGTTAGCTCCCTCTTAGTTTACGTCAAACTTCGAATGAAGCCTAACTATTTAATTGTGATTTAATAAAAGAAAAAAAGAAATAAAGTGGACTGTATCTTCAAACATTTATTTTGGAACATTTACGAAATCTAATATTGAAAACATAAAAACAAAATGAATCAATTTTACACTTGTTAGATAGGTAAAAAAATAACAAACTTCTAGCATAAAATAAAGACCAGCTGAACAAACAATTGTGACAATATTAATGAAACATTTTCATGCTTGATCATAAATAAAAACTATTTCTATGGCCCAAATTATAATAAAAATAAAATAAAAAAAAAAAACTTCTCTAAAGTCCCAATATGAAATTTATATATATATAACAAATAATTAGATTGTACAACGTTACGTGGACGAAGCAGGACGTTCGTAAACCTCTGTCTCTAAGCAGAAACCAATTGTAACTCTTCAATGAGCGTGCTCAAAACGAACTGCAAATGGTCAGCGGCGAGCACGACGAGAGAAGTACGTCTCTTCAGAGTAGAACTGCAGTGGGCAGTGTTGAAGTTGGCAGTACAATCCATAACAAAGTAGTCCAAGTATAGACTATTGATTTATTTAATATATACAATATAAGCTATGGGCCTATAATACTTAATATACACCTATCTTATACATAAATATACATATTATTAATTGATTTCACTTTGCTAAAATAAAACAAATCAACAATTAATCAAACTAGTTAAGTGTAAAATAAATTGAATTAACGCTGTGGCGCTAACAATAAGATAAAGTTGAGGAAGCAATTAAATAAAATTGATACTTTATAATTTTTTTATTAATACCTAAATTTTCCCTAACTTTGAAGCAAATTGAACGAGCCGTTTCTGAAACATTGGTATATCCAAGAAAATACATTTATGCGTGCGCAACCTCAAGTGCTGCATCGAATATGATAAAATTGATATGGGACCATCTAGACACCAACCCGCACAATTCCTGAAAATTTCGTGAAAATAGGATGAACGGTAGTAGGTGATCATGCCAGTTACATCGATTAGACTACAGACAGATCCGAACCAAATTTGATCCTTGATATCTGAGACGTAAAACGCGAGTGAAAATTTTCTATTCTGAGCACAAAATTTGTTTCAACCTCTCGCATGAATAGAAAGCTTTCCTACTTTCGGTAGTGAGGAAGCAAAAATGTATTCACTCTTATTAGCAGGATTTGAAATCGATAATTAAACATATGTATTCAAACTTGTTGCTTCAATGCTTCAATTTGATACTAATAATAAAAAATCTGGTGAGCGCAACACACAACTTTCACTTACTCTTTGAACTTTGAATAAAAATTATTTTCTGGCCATGTTAGGCTATTATAAAATGTTTTAAATTGCATTTTAAACTGAGCTAAAGCTAAAAAAACACAAATGCTATCAAAATAACAAAAGTCCTATTTATTATATCACCGGTTGATTATGGATTGTACGATTCGTTGATTATGGATTGTTCGATCCATTGATTATGGATTGTACGACTATAAGTCATTAAACTGTTATTTTCCATTGCAAAGTTTATTAAAACGGAATTAAGAGATTTGCAGTGTCTGTCATAGACAGGTCAAAAGTTGTCACACTAATTGTAAGTGGATTCTGTTGGAATATCGCAAAAAGAAGAATTATCAAACTATTCACATATTTAATTTTCTAAAAGGTTACATGATGATTTTTCGGAATAAATGGACGATAGATATCTAAATATTTAAATATGTTATGAGATCTAGAGTTATTAAAGTACAGTAAATATATTTAGGGTTATAAACGTATCTATGAAATATTTTTGTATTTCACTTCTTTTTTCACACAAGTACAACGAAATGGTAGAGGAATATCACAAAGAGAAGATCTATCGAATCATTCACTAATTTAGTTTTCTAAAAAGTTATATGACAATATTTTGGAATTAACTTTAATACCTAATTATTTATAGAGAAATACTTTATTAAAAGTAATGCTGCCCTACTACATAGGGTTGCTTCGTACACAGCATACTTATCAATCCATACGGACATTAATTTTATATTATATTTTTCTTTTTTTTTTCTCCCCCCTTCATAACAATACTCTTTTACAAATTATCAACAATAAGCCATATTAAACAATAGACATAGCATAATAAACACTTTCCCAAAATAAAAAAAAAATTCCTTTTTTCTCTTTAAATTCTCAAACGCCAAGAACGCAATATAACATCGCACACATATATAACACAGCAATTCCTTGAATGTAGCCAAAAAGATAAGACGATTATGGACCAATTTAAAATTTAATAAATAATTACTAAACTACAGTAAATGTATTTAATATTATAAACACATGATTTATACATCCATGAAATGATTTTATATTTTATTTCTTCTTTCACACAAGTACACTGAAATAATTTTTTTTTACAATGCCATCAACTTGCTTAGGTGGATTTTAAATACATTTAAAAAAAATTAGCATTACCTTATTAACACATTCAAAATTCAAAAACCGAAAAAAAGGATATAACCATTGCAGCAGAACGTATTAAAAAAAACTAGAGACCATATCTTTCCTCCTAATTGTCCGATCTTAACTTTTTTTTTGGTTTTTAGAAAATTCTATAAACTTAAAAAAAACATGTAAAACATTCCCAAAAAAGTGTATACTTTTTGAGTTATTCGGGATTTAATTTTACCATCCCTCGTAATTTTTTTTTCCAGCTTCTTTTCGTTGA